ATTCTCACTGGACTGAACGACGCACTGGAACAGCACCAGCACCCACTTCCAACCCCAGACGACATCTTCACGAAGCTCAACGGAGGACGTTACTTTTCTCAACTCGACCTTGCCGAAGCATACCTCCAGTTGGAAGTGGACGACGACTCTAAGAAGCTGCTGACAATCAATACGCACCGTGGACTCTACCGTTTCAATCGACTACCGTTTGGAGTGAAGCCCGCACCTGGCATCTTTCAACAGTGCATGGACGCACTCATTGCTGGAATAGATGGAACTGCCGCCTATCTCGACGACATACTGGTCACTGGCAGCACCATCGACGAACACAACACTCGACTGGAAGCAGTGTTCAAGCGAATCCAGGACTACGGATTCCGTGTTCGACTCGACAAATGCACATTTCTGCAGGACAGAAATCACCTACCTCGGGTTCGTCATCAACGCGCAAGGACGACGCCCTGATCCGGACAAGATCAAAGCCATACAGAAGATGCCCGCTCCAACAGACGTCAGCCAGCTTCGCGCTTTTCTCGGACTCATCAACTTCTACGGCAATTTCGTCAAGGATCTGCACGATCTTCGCGCTCCGCTAGACGCCCTTACGAAGAAGGATGCTGTCTACAAGTGGACACCGGAGTGCAAAACTTCCTTCAACAAGATCAAGGCAACACTCAGCTCGGATCTCCTGCTGACTCATTACGACCCGGCTCTACCGATCATCGTAGCTGCCGATGCTTCCAACTACGGAATAGGAGCGACTCTCTCTCACCGCTTCCCAAATGGATCCGAGAAGGTCGTCTACCACGCAAGCCGTTGCCTGACACCAGCTCAAGAACTACAGCCAGATTGAGAAGGAAGCACTCGCTCTCATCTTCGCCGTGCAGAAGTTTCATCGCTTTGTCCACGGACGACACTTCACGCTGAAGACCGACCACAAGCCACTCGTCGCAATCTTTGGAAGCAAGAAAGGGATACCAGTCTACAGTGCCAACCGTCTTCAGCGATGGGCCACGATTCTACTCAACTACAGTTTCACGATCAAGTACGTCAACACGAAGGATTTCGGGCAGGTGGACGCTCTCTCTCGTCTTATAGCGTCGCACTCGTCAATACCGGAAGATCACGCCTCGTCGACGCCGATGTCACTGCACAGAAAACTGTCGACATCTTCCAGTATCTGCCGAATCCATCCGGACCGCTACGAAAGCCGATCGACTGAGCCAAGAAGTGATCGACTACACGAAATCCGGAAAATGGCCCAAAATCAACCGCGACTCTCCTTTATGGCACTACTATAATCGCAGAGACACTCTTACGACAGTGAACGGATGTCTGCTCACCGCATCCCGCATAGTGATTCCAAGATCACTACAACATCGTTCTAACAGCACTCCACAAGGCTCATCCAGGACAAACAAGGATGAAAATGCTCGCAAGAAGCTACGTCTACTGGCCGACACTGGATGCCGACATCGAACACATGGTCAGGACCTGCTCCAAATGTGCTTCAGTTGCCAAGGATCCCGTCAAAGCTGAACTACATTCCTGGCCAAAACCGACTTCTCCATGGATGCGAGTGCATGCTGACTTTGCCGGACCGATGGAAGGACGATATTACCTGATACTCGTGGATGCCTACTCCAAGTGGCCTGAAATTGTCCAGATGTCAACAATTTCTTCACCAGCCACGATTCAGTCAATGAAGCACATCTTCGCCCGCTTTGGAAATCCGGCCACACTCGTCACAGACAATGGCACGCAGTTCACATCTTCACAGTTCATTTCGTTCTGCCGTTCGCGAGGGATCACGCACATTCGCACGCCGCCGTTCCATCCGCAGAGCAACGGACAAGCAGAACGCTTCGTGGATACCTTCAAGCGAGGACTCGCCAAGTTGAAGGGGGAGGAACCTACAGACGACGCTCTGCAGACTTTTCTGATGGCTTACCGCTCCACGCCATGCCCTTCTACACCAGATCAACGATCACCTGCGGAAGCCTTCCTTGGACGCCGAATGCGAACCGAACTTGACTTGATGTTGCCACCAGAAGACGTCACTATGGGAGCACGAGATGTCAAGATGGAAACTCAGTTCAATCGTCGAAATGGAGCACGACGCCGCTTCAAGGTCAACGACGCCGTTCATGTCAAGGATTATCGAGGACCAAAGCCTTCATGGATACCTGGAACCATCGTTCGTCGCGTTGGAAACACCACCTACGTCGTACGCTGTGGAAGCAACTTATGGCATCGACATGCGAATCAGCTGCGACCAAGGATCAACACAACAACGACAAACGCCTTCATGGAAGTTTTCGATCTACCGCTGTTCGACTCCGCGAGCAGAGACAATGTGGCACCACCGACGACGATCGAGCTGCCTCGACGATCACGACGCGACCTCAACGCCGACTCCAGCTGGACCCTCACAGGTCCCGATACGTGTTAACTTAAAAGGGGAGGTGTTGTAGGGTTTCGTAATGTAGGATTTGAATGTATTGATTTGTATGGAGATTAGAGATTATCCCATGCAATATCCCGCGCAATGTACGGAGCATTGTAATATGACTATTCTTGTGTTTTTATGTTGTCAGTTCTCTCCGGTTCAGTTCCACAATAAATCTTCTACTCCACTGGTGTCTTCGGCTACAACAACATCTACAACATGGCCCCTAAAGCTGATTATGAGAGCTGCTCCCATATCCGCTGCGGACCTCCGAGAAAGATACGAACGTTTCACTTCGAGCATAATCGCAGCTTCGAGTGAGCATACCTACTCAAAATGATTTCTTGGTCAGAAGCAAGGTGAATGCAACCGTGTCTCTGTGGCTGAACAGTTATCAGGCCTTCTCCATGCTTTCCTGTAAGGTGTAAGGTCGAAGGAGGGAGCTCTAGGCACTGTTCTTTTTCTGAATAATGCTCTCTACACTAATTAAGAACAATTTTGCATGGTAAGAGATCTTGAAGGCAAGTTCGCGATGTTTCGCTATCACAGATAGTGGATTTAGGGCTCGCACATAGACGGCAAGAATCTGAGTAATTAGATAGTGAAGAAAAAAGCAGAAAAAACATGCAGCTGCCCTAGATAGAACCCCATTTGATCCCAGTTTGTACGTACCCAATTAACTGCACTCACATTTCACCCTCAACCGCACAGCTGGTACCCCGATTAGAAGTTCACGACAGCACAACTGACGATTTTCATGCTTTTCGTCCTGCAGCTCAGTTTTTCACTGAAAGGCGGGCCTTGAAGGCGGGTCTGGAGGCGGAGTCACTGGAAAAAAGGAGGCGTCACTGAACCTGTATTGCGTTATAGCGCCCTTCTCTTACAATTTTTTCGCCGCGAAACCGATATAATATTGTTTAGCGCGGACTGCACTACTTTCCCGAGGCCATTATTTCAACTTCTATACTTGATCGCGGATCCTGCCTTTAATTTTAACGAAAACAAATGTATCATCAGAACTGCGATGAACGCGTCTAGCCCTTCACCTTCTACGTGCTTCGTCTTTTCCAAACGTCCAATTCCGTCTTCTAGGGACCCCATTCACTCTCAAATGAACGCTGAATGATTTTTGAGTATTTGTTTTGTTTAAGAAATGTAATGGAAAATCCCAACAGATTTCTGCTTTCCACACAAGATTTCACAAACTGATGTCTCAAGAAAAGCCGAGACCCTTTTTCGTTAGCGCAGTCTAATGCACGTGACACTGTGCGGAGCCGATCTGGTTGTGATACAACGGAGTTTCGAAAAATGTATAATGCACGGCCTACCTTCTCAAAAGTTGTACCATCAGTCTTCTTAATATCGAAGACGAAACGGGAGCGTGCCTTCTCAAAGTCAGTATCTCTTTTGCAGTCTGCGACATTTCCTTCAGCGATGCGTTTCCTTCCTGGCATACCCACGACATTGACGCCTGCCTTAAAGTACCAATCAATAGATAATAGCCAAATTAATGAATACATTGCGCTTCCTTACATACTACTATATGTAATTGATTATGTCCATGTCCATGTATGTGCTTGTTTGTCTGTCTGTCCGTCTGTCTTTCACGAAATCCATAGCGCCGTCCCAGTAGCAGTGGGACATTGGTTTCAAAAAGTGATGTAGGGGGAGTTTCGGGAACACTATTGGTGGGTGACAGGAGTGATATCAGCTATGAGATCCGATAAGAGATGTTAGAAGAGAATGGCCACTATATTCATAACGCGGGTGAAAGCATCAAGTAGCTGCTGATTCTAAGTTATGAAGTAGGGTATGAGACAGGAACTTCTTTGAGGGGTGATAGGAACTGTGAGCTGCTGATAAGATTCGGTAAGCAGCGTTAGAAAGGTGAGGTCACCATGTTAACAGCGCGCGTCAGTGCATCAGCAAGGCTTTAGTTTCATCAAGTGATATAGAGGGCGAAATGCGGTCATCAATAGTGGGTGATAACAAGCAATAACAAGTGATGGGGACTGATAAGGGAAATTGCAGTCGTCGCCGCTGTTGAAGGTGATGGAAATTTGCGAATACCCTTGAGTAATTGTAGTCCTATAATAAATAATAGAAAATTACCAAAATCGTTAATTTGTACTAGCAAACTGTAAAAAGTCAGTGATAAATACATTGATGGCGGGTTAGCGGTAATCATATCAACCGATAGGACTAGATAAGAGGCTATCCTCACTAGATTTCTCAATACTTCTCACCACTGCGATGCCAAGTAATTAGGGGCCCAGTAGGTATATCCTTCTTTGTGCCATCACGATGGTGGAAACCATGGAATGGAACTATCTGTATGCAATGATGTCGAG